ACCTGAACACACCACATAAGGTTGGTTTGAACACTGGATATTGTCACCATGCTGAGCCTGACAGTGCCACAGTGAGGACTCCCTGCCATTGCAGCTCACATGGTCCATTATCCCTCTTGAATTTCGACGTTCGGCTTTAGTGTAAATCAGCTAGAACAAAACATTTATAAGTTTGCTTTATTTCATTGACAGACAGAAAACACTGACTGATTTAAAGACAACGAGTCACTGCATATTGTTAGCCTGGGAAAAAGGAGTGGTGAACTAAATATAAATCACAGACAGTGGAATAACTTAAATTACCAAACAGTACAGATAAAACTAACATCCACTTGTTTGGTTGGATTGATTAGGAGCTCAAACTGTTGAACTTACTTTAAACATTTTTAATTTTAATTCATTTATTTTAATCCAGGGTTTCCAACTCCAGGCCTCGAGGTCCGATGTCCTGCAGATTTTAGGTCTGTCAGTAATCCAACACAGCTGATTCAAATGGCCAAATTACCACCTCAACATGTCTTGAAGTTCTCCAGACGCCTGGTAATGAACTAATCATTTGATTCAGGTGTGTAGACTCAAGGTGAGATCTAAAACCGGCCTGGAGTCGGGGACCCCTGCTTTAATTATTTTGATGTTCAAACAATGCCATGTTGATCAAATCAAGTGATTATTAAAATTAACATAAACATTTCTTGCAACCCTGTAAAAAAGCATCAATCCAACTATACTGAGGAGAAAAAGCTACATGGGGATCACTAATATTCTTGTGACATCAAAGAAATATATAATATTGTTATCATCTCCAGCAGCTTTTACTTCATGTGCATTCAGTATTAATGGTGCACATTAGTACACTAATTACAATAAACACAGTAGCACTGCTGTATGGACAGTTTCTGATACACTCAGTATCCATGTATCAGAACAACAGGTAACTTATGGTGACTAAACTTGAACACTCACTTTCCCGCATTCAAGCTCCTTGCAGACCAATTCAGCTTCCTTTTTAGTCCAGGAGGAGGCACACACAGGATTAACTGAACCATTCACTTTAATATTAACTGTACCATAGCACTTGCTGTCTTTACCAGAGAGCTTCAGAACTACTTTAACTTCATCTGAGAGAGAGAGA